AGATGCTGAAAAACTTTTTTAACACAGGAATAAATTACATTTTAAAATATAATCAAATAGAAACTATTTGTTATTTTATTCTATGACTATTTGTTATTTTAAATGATAATATTTCACTATATTATGGTTTTATTGTATTTTTGATAAAATAAATGCAGCCTTGGTGAGCATGATACTTCTTATTAAACTAGTGCTGTTAAATGATTAAAATATTTAATCGCGATAAATCGCATTAATGTCATAGTTAACTCGCAATTAATCGCAATTAATCACACATTTTTATCGATTCTAAATGTCTCTTGATTTCTTTTTTTTTTCATTGTTTTTTTCTCTCTCTGATTTTAATGCTATTATCAAAATGGAAAAGTGGATCGGCTTGCTTTGTGCAATGCAATGTTTTTTATTGAAAACAACATGGACAATACCCTGATAGCACACGTACATCACAGAGACGTTTCCCGTCAGATGTCACATAGACGTTTAGAAGATGTCTCCTACCCAAACAAAATTGGAGTGGCGTAGTCCAGTGCAGTTAAACAAACACCAACAGCCTTGGCGTAGTCGGCAGGGTAACATGCTTTATTGTTATTATTTGTTTTGATTTGTTTATGACTGTCTGGGTATATGTTTTTGTTGTTGTTGTTTTGAAAGGTGGGAAAATTGTTAAGGTGCTTGTTCGACCTGTATGGTGTTTCTAAAATTAGAACGACCCCATACCATCCTGAGGGTAATGGCCAATGTGAAAGATTTCATCCATCCACATCTTCATCCATCCAACAAATACCTTTCACCCAATTAGAATCCCTTTCGGGTGGTTTATAATTTACTTTAAAATCATTGAAGAGAACTCAAATCCAGAGTTCTCTTCATCTGATGGATTAAGTGAATAGTAGAACACTGTGAGATCATTCATTTGACCCTTTATTCGGCCTCAAAAAACAGCTCTTCTCAGAACTGTGGTTGCCGGTGCATGCCGCGCAAACCCAAAATGGTTTTGAGAGTTGCCTGTAACCAACTTCTCTGAACCAGGTTTAATAAATCATCGTTTGCAACCTGGATCCTAATCAGGGTCATGCACTCTCTCACCCACCAGCGGAATTAGGACAGACCCAAACAGACCACTCAGCGGGGCCCGATTGGTGGCATTAGTCAGATACCATGATGCCTATTTATTTGCTAGTGACATGAGGCTGCAGGCAGCACTGATCTCTCTCTATCCCTCTGTTCCTATATCTCTCTATCAGCGCCCTGATCCTCTAGGGTCATATTAAGTGTGTTTAAAGCCACTGTTAAAAGGCTTGAATTATCATACTGCAACGATTAGTTATAATGGTCTGCATTCAAAGCAATCTGAGAAACCTGTGCACAACTGCTTCCTTATTAGATCGAACTGTACTTAGCTTCCTCAGGAAACACTGAATGTTTGACAGATTACAATACTTTCACTTTTACAGAACATCATGTTTAGGCCTGTTTCAGAACACACACACAAGCAATACTGTATGTAAACAAAGCAGCAGTGTAACTGAAGCACTCGTATTCAACATGTTTGAGCTGCAGTCTTTGTCTATGTGTCAAAGTATACAACACTATGCGTAATCAGATATTTGAAGGATTTATCACATGTTCCGTGTGACCTCTGTCTTTTTCAGTACTGAGAGCTAATGTAGTCTGACTGACCTGTGTGCATGCTCAACAAAGCCAAGCTACAGTCACATTATCTGTTAGATTTTGCCAAGTAAGACATGTTCCTGGATCAACATATTTTGTTGATCCTGTAACAACATTTTTGTCCAAAAGTTTGGTCCTAACCCTATCCCTACCTCCAACGTATCGCTAAAATCACAGGGAAATGATGGGTGAATAACACAGTAACAAAGTACATTTACTTGAGTTTAAGTACACTTTTTGAATGTCCATACTTTAACTTGATTATTATTGTTTTCTGGAAACCTTTTACTTTAACTTACTTTAACAAATGTCGTACTTTTTACTCCACTACAATTTCGTCAAGGTCCTTGAATAGAAAGTAGTAACGTCAGTCAGGGGATGATTTTGGTTGCATGGGTTGCATTTTGGTTGTAAATGAAAGTCAGGTTGACGTCAAAACCCGAAGTCAGATTAATGTCAACATCCAACTCTGGACAGTCGTTGGATTTTGGTTGGAAATGAAAGTTGGGTTGACGTCAGAACCCGACTGATGTTGGTTTCTGAGGTCAACCTGATTTTCATTTTCAACCACAATGCGTCTGTCCAAGGTTGGAGATAGACATCAATCTGACGTTGGATTCTGACATCAATCTCATTTTCAACGTTGAGTTTGGACTTTTAAATGTGAATTTTGTCATTGTTTTGGAGACTTTAAATAGGGCACCATTTGAGGGAACAGCCATTTGGGTGTCCGGAACCATTGTGGATGTTATTGATTGTACTTATTCAATCTCACAGTCAATCTATGCTCTAGAAATAAATTTGATATTGAGGGTATAGGGGCGACCATATCTGATTAACGTGAATATTAGTACCAGTCTTCTTGGCCTGATGTCATCCTTTTTTTGGTATCCTTGTAGGATATTATGTACCTGTCAACACTGATGTAGAAGCACCTAGCTGTAAGCCTAAACTTGACATAAACTGTAAACTTGTCCCTCAAATCTGATTGGTTGATTGGAATGTTCCAGGATCAACAAAGATGTTGACCCAGGATCATGTTGCACTTGTTGAAATCACATTCACCTTATCTGTAAGTGCAACTTCGTAAAAAAAAAGAGAGTCCTGAATGTCTTTTTTTTTCACAAAACGTTGAAAAGGACAAATAATTGTTTAATTTCAACTAAAATCAAACTTTTAAAGTTCAATAAAAGCAAACCTTCGAAAAACATGACTTGTACCTAATAAAGGAGAAAGGATTGTAGGAAACAACATGCTTTGGTTAGAAAACAAACCATCCAGAAAAAGCTCTGAAATCACAAGCAGACACAAGCCCCACTATGATGGAGGCCTGTTCAAAGCTGCCTCTGCCCTGTCATTAAACTAATCAGCTCATTATTAGACAGTTCGGGTTGGTCACTGGTCACGATTCGTAGAAAGGGAGGCCCTTTTATTAAGCAGCCCTTATGTCTAAGATCTTACTTAAGATACCCTAATGCAAAGTCTGATTTAAACCAAGGGGTCAATGTCTCGATGGTTAGCATGACTCATTAACCACCGCAGGCAGATATACTGCATACCATCGTCCTTATTATCAAGTATTATTCCAATTTAATTTATTCTGTTTCAATTTTTATATATTTTTAAAATATAATTTATTTCTGTGATGGCAAATCTGAATTGTCAGCATCATTACTCCAGTCTTTAGTGTCACATGATCCTTCAGAAATCATTCTAATATGCAGATTTGGTGCTCAAGACACATTTCTAATTATTATTATTATTATCGCAGTTGAAAACAGTTGCTTATTTTTTTCAGGATTTTTTGATGAATAGAAATTGTATTGATTTAATTGTATTATAGGTACACTTCAACTATGAGTGACAAAATGAGGAAAAAAAAATACAGGAAATCACTGTAGGATTTTTAAGAAATTATTTGTAAATTACCCGTTTGAAACTGTTATCTGTATAAAAGACACCTGTCCACAACCTCAAACAGTCACACTCCAAACTCAACCATGGCCAAGACCAAAGAGCTGTCGAAGGACACCAGGAAGAAAATTGTCGCCCTGCACCAGAATGGGATGAGTGAATCTACAATAGGCAATCAGCTTGATGTGAAAAAAATCAACTGTTGGAGCAATTGTAAGAAAATGGAAGACATACAAGACCTCGATAATCTCCCTCGATGGGGTTCCACGCAAGATCTCATCTCGTTGGGTCAAAATGATCATGAGAACGGTGAGCAAAAATCCCAGAACTACACGGAGGGACCTGATGAATGACCTGCAGAGAGCTGGGACCAAAGTAACAAAGGCTACCATCAGTAACACACTACACCAAGAGGGACTCAAATCCTGCAGTGCCAGGCGTGTCCCCCTGCTTAAGCCAGTACATGTCCAGGCCCATCTGAAGTTTTCCAGAGAGCATATGGATGATCCAGAAGAGGATTGGGAGAATATCATGTGGTCAGATGAAACCAAAATAGAACTTTTTGGTAAAAACTCAACTGAAGAATTTGTTTGAAGAATGATGAGTTCCATCCCAAGAACACCACTGTGAAGCATGGGGGAGGAAACATCATGCTCTGGGGTTGTTTTTCTGCAAAGGGGACAGGAAAACTGATCCGTGTTGAGGGAAGAATGAACAGGGCCATGTATCGTGAGATTTTAAGCCAAATCCTCCTTCTATCAGTGAGAGCCATGAAGATGAAACGTGGCTGGGTCTTCCAGCATGACAATGATCCCAAATACACCGCCCAGGCAATGAAGGAGCAAAAAAGCATTTCAAGGTCCTGGAGTGGACTGTCTCCAGACCTCAACCCCATAGAAAATTTGTGGAGGGAGTTGAAAGTCCGTGTTGCAGCGACAGCCCCGAAACATTACTGCTCTAGAGGAGATCTGCATGGAGGAATGGGCCAAAACACCAGCTACAGTGTGCGCAAACCTGGTGACTTACAGGAAACATTTGACCTCTGTCATTGCCAACAAAGGTTATGTTACAAAAGTATTTAGTTGATAAATTCTTTTCAAAATCCTACAATGTGATTTCCATTTTGTCTCTCATAGTTAAAGTGTACCTATGAAAATTACAGACCTCTCTCATCATTCTAAGTTGGAGAAATTGCACAATCAGTGGCTGACTAAATAGTTTTTGGCCCCACTGTGTATGTATATATATATATTATTATTATTAAATATTTTACCAGTGCTCAATTCTTTCAAGAGGATTTTTTTATTTAAATGGATGGAGTGAAGTTGGCATCATTATCCTGCAGTTCCAGAGTAAATTGTCACATGATGTTTATGGCTAAGGGGAAGAAAAGCTAAATAAAATGACTCTTTATGTCTTAATTAATGTCTTTATATGAACTTTTGCTGAAAAAATAATTACACAGTTAACAAGTACCACAGCACAGGAGAGCTAATAAGAGCTTACACCTCTACCAGTTACAGCTGTTAACACCATTCTTCTTGTTTACACAGGCAATGATGAGTTTCATAATAACATGTCATTTACGCTCAACTGTTAGCTAATGTCCTTAGTGCATGCTCATTTATATTATTAATATTACATCTAACCCTTCCAAACGCCTCTGTAGCTTCCAGAGAAACTAGGGCTCCATGTGGAGTGAGCAGCCCACATAGCTGTCATCCATTTTGTCCTCTCGAGTCCCTCTGACCAGCCTCTTTCGTTCTGTTATATTCCGTACCAATAGTCAGAGTAAAATGCTGTAGTCCAGTATGGGCACGTGATGAATGTGAAGTACACGGCTGTGTTGTCGATAACATGTGATGTACATATTCAGCTATTGGCCAGGATAATATCTGATAGGCTCAGAGTCAGTTTAAAATATCATTTTAAAAGCAGCACACCTTTTGTCACAAACAACACTCATAGAACAAAACTCTCACATCAAAAACTAAACAATATACTGTATATATATATATATATATATATATATATATATATACTGTATATATGTATATATATACATATACATATATATATATATATATATATATATACACGTATATATACATTACAGCACAGGTTGTTCTTGAATCCTAAACCTTTACCGTCCTCCGATCAATTCAAAACAACAACAACAACAAAAGAGAGAGAAGAAGAAAGAGAGATACATCTGCCATATCAGGCAAAGTGTGCAAGGCGCTCATGAGAAATGTAGATTTCAGTTGTAGTGCTTTCACAAAATAAGTTCAAATAAAGCCATGCAACAAAGAATAGGAATTGGGGGAGGGGTACAAATCGCAAGGGATGGACTTCATATCCCAGATTGCCGTGGACAAAATCCTGAGGAACGGGAGGAAGTGGGCTTGTCTCAGGTCTGGTCCAGCCATTCGGCACGTTTAGGAGCTTTGCAGGTGTGAATGTCGACAGCCTCCTCGCAGTCTTTGCACTCAACAGCGCAACACCACTTAAACTTACACTCACACTTGGTGATGCGTTTTACGCGTGTGGTGTCGTAGCCCCGTCCGCAACACATGACCTCGCAGCCGTCGGTTCCCCGGGATGTCTTGTTACAGACCCGACCAGCAGTTCCCAATGAACCTGGAATGCAAAAAAAAAAAGGAAATGATTTCGTTTCAAGACCCAGATTTTACATTGGACATCAAGTGGTGCAACATAACCCAAAAAGTAATAACGCATTTCAAAATGTATTAAGCCCACAACAATACAAATAAGCATCAAATCAGTTAATCATAGATTCATAGAATCATCAAAATAAAATTAATTACAAATTAAATATATTAGTGGAATATATATTTGATATACATATTTCTACATTTATATTAGTAATTTATAACAATATGTCATTCCTTTTGACCAAAAAGCACAGTTAAAAGTTTCTATTATGGACAAAAAAGAATTAAATAAAGAGAAAGATTCACATTTGTTAATGCATATTTTTGTAATCAATAAATTACTAAATAAGATGCATAAAATGAAACTTAAAAGTTTCACGTAAAAAAACAAGTAAACTTTTTTTTCTATTTTGTTTAAAGGTTTAACAGACAGTGTAATTCTTTTTTTTTTTAAAGTGATTTTTCTGATTATTATTTTATTTTATTAAAGGTCGTAATGGTAGTATAATTCCGCCGAAAAACCATTTGACTGGACACACAAAATTACATCTGAAAAATAATAATGATATAAAATAACTAATACATTTCAATGAACAAATACAGAAAAATAAGTCCATGAAGAACCTTTAACATCCACCTTTCCATTTAAAGTTTTATTGATTTATTTTATAGTGGACAAAAGGTTCTTTGGATTATTACAATAGGTCTTACCACTAAGACAAAATGGTTCTTTTAAGTAGTGTTCATGAAAGGTTCTTTGAGGAGTCCAAAACGGTATCACAGTAAAACCTTCTATGAAACATCCTACCCAACAGTCTATAGCAACACAAAGTCACACAGAAAGTAAGACCGACCATCAATAATCAGATTGGTGTTTTGGAGTCTGCATGTTGTTGTTTCGCAAGGTTAAACACACAGTGGACAGAGATGCTCTCTTTCTTAAAAAAAAAAAAAAAAAAATCTGCTTGCCCTGCGGCCATGAGAACCAGAGAGTGATGGTTGTGCTGGCAGCTTTGAAAGAATGGGATTTGAAAAATGAGCCTGTTGTATCCTTGGGGTGCAAATTCCACTGGGGTGGTGATGCTGGTGGTGGTTAGGGGGTAAGCGCATTGACCCTCTAAAATCACTGAGCTGTGAGCTGTCTGTCTGACCCAAACACACACTCAAACCATCACACTGATGCATGAGCTGCAGAAGCATTCTCAAAAAAAGCAGAGTAACACAGTGTGACGTGATATGTCTGCAGTAGGAATACGTTGTCTAAACTATAGTTAGTTTTAGGGAAGCCCTGGATAATAGGTTTATCAATATGCTACATTTCTAATGGAGTGTTAAGATGCGTTCTTGTGTTTAAAAACAGCTAAATGGAACAGAATGCAACAAAATGTATGGTTGAGTGGCACACCACCCCAAAAAAGTAACACATCTGCAAAGCATAACAAGTGCTAAGATGCTTTCACAGAAGTTGCATTTTTAGATTCATTCCCTATGAAACACTACAGATAAAATATATATAAAAAATGAATTAATAAATACATATACTTTACAAATATATCTAAAAAATTGAGTCATAAAGTAATGAAAAGGTTTCTATTTATGACCCATCACCAACTGAACATGGACCTTGTGCCGCTAGTCCAGATGATACATGCATGAGTGTGTGTCAGAGCATCAAGGATTAACGGAGCAAAAAAAAAAAAAAATCCCATCCCACCTCTTCTGACCCTGTCAAAGCCTCTATTGCTCTTTTTACCCTTAAGGTTTATGGTTGGGTTTAGGGCAGGGCAGGGCAGGTGTGAGAGTCAATTTACCTCAGTTACTGAAATGTACTCACTGACTGTCTTTCTCCATCAAGTCATGTAAAAATGAACATGGCTTACCACCATCATACTGGATCTCAGGAGTGAGGATCCTCTGAGGTCTGAAGGTGATTCAGTGGCCAACCTGTTACGGTACGTTTACACAAAAGCCATGGTCTAAAAACAGAAACGTTTTTCCTTTGCGTTGTCCGTGTACAGACAACAACATTGTCAAAACAATCCCCGTTCAAACGGATAGACTAAAACGACTAAAAACGCTGCATTATGCTGCCAGGCCAGTAGTTGGCGATGTTACTTTGTGAAGAAAACTATGTGGCTATAGATTTAACATGGCACTCCATGACTGCTTTCACAAATTTGCATTTTTGTAGTTTACACTGAGATGATAACAGTATTTTTTTTTTTTTTTTTAAATGGACAATTTGAAACCCGTTTTCAAAGGTTTGCATTTTCAGGTCCCAAAAACTTTCAAGTTCTTGTTGAAAATGGTGTTGTGTAAACGCCCGCTTATACGTCATTAAACACTTTACTGTCTCATAAACAGGATTTTATTCATCACACTTTTATACCTTTATTCATCAGGCAGACTAAGCACTTCCTGCATTCTGCACGTCTGGTATAATCTAACTCTTAATTCTGAGAAGTCTAAGCAAAATCCAATATACTGAGTGCGTCAGCAGTTAGTCAGAGTTAACTATTTGTGACATTAGTAATACATGAGTCACAGTGCTAATTGCATTATTACTAAATAAGTCAACATTTATACAGCTTGAAAGGCAACGCAGTAGTGATAATATTCAAACATCCGGGTTTACTTTGTTATAAATTCTTTAACCAATTTAACTAATAATGCCAGTCGTAAGTTACTTTGTGGTCTTTTTTTTATGCATATATTCTTTGTGAAGAAGGCAACATCTGACCAAAGTATTGATGAAAGAAAGAAACAATTAAAAAAATGTTTTTTTTTAAATTATCATTATATATATACAGTATATATTGTATATATACATTAATAATAATACAATAATTAATAATAAATTAAATGTAAATAATTAAAATGATAAATTTAATAAATACAGAAACATTACAGAAACGTAATTTTATGTTTTCATTTTCATTCTTACCTGCAGCTTTGTCCATGAGGCAGTAATCAGGTGAGGTTTCGAAGTACACCAAGTCATTTTTTGTGGCTTTCCTGAAGTCTTTATTGGCTACTGTGAATCCTGTCCCATCTTGGTTCATGGTGACCTCGATGGCTCCGTTGTATTTTTTGCGAAGGTAATCTCCTGTTTTACGGAAATCTGACATTGCCAACCAGCAGGTTCTCAGAGTGCATGACCCACTGACTCCATGACATTTACACTCCAGCTTCATAAACCGTTTTACAGCCTGTAAAAAAGAGAAACAGAGAAAACATGCCTAGTAGTAATTATATGAACAGATTCCATGTGGCCAAGAATTGCCTCAGAATGTAAACAGAGTTTCAAAGGAATGTTATCATAGAACAATGTTTTTGTGTTATTTATGCCCGTATTTATATACCGAGTTGTTTAGTTATAATCAAACTTTTTCACTCACCAGCCAATTTGGCTACTAAATTGTTAAGTTACCAGCAATTCAGAACGTCGCCAAGCCAAAACAAGATTCGCACAAATAAACCAGATTATCAATGGCACAGATTAGATTTGGTTTTAAATACATATATATTATGATTATGAATCATTGAATTGCTTTCAGCTTCATGACAGTCAATAACTGTTTGGAGATACCATTGAAATAAAATAAAATAGAAATAAAAATAAAATCCTCTGCAACTTTTCGCATAATTGCGTGTAACAAAATAAGGTTCTTTTTGCCCAAAAGTCTTGGACATGCAGCATTTATAAGAACGGGTTAGAAAAAGTGGCCTCTCAACTGTCTTCTAGGGCTCCAGCGAAACACACCAGACAATAAGCAACGTACCTCAGGCATCTTCATAGAAGCTGAGTGGTGCCGCCGGTGTGCGTATGGTATCTCATGAAAGTGCGTATTTATACCACGAATGTCATTTCTCGTGGCATTACGCCAAAAATGTTTTTTGCGTGCATATGCTATGCACTGAAAACCCCTTGGGTAGGTTTAGGGGGGAGGGGAGTGGGGAGTTCGTGCGTATTATACGCCATAAAGTGCGTATCATATGCACACGAAAAACGCGTACCATATACACGCAAAAACTATTTTTGGCGTATAAATGGCACAAGAAATGACATTCGTGCTATAGATACGAACTTTCATGAGATCGGGCTCGAATATGTATAGTATGAATGTAATCTGAATGTGACCTGCCTGCATTACTTGCATTGCTTCACTGCCATTCACAAATCCTCTCCTGTGGCATAATAGGATAGTAAAGTGCCGCACACTTCAGAATCTCACCAAAAGTAGTAGGTCATCCATCTTACTTTTGTGGCATACTGTTTTCTATACTATATTGTAGGGAAGTATGTGATTTCGGATGCAAAATTAAAGACGTGGCGCAGCACAGTGTTTCTCTCAGTATGCAACCCTCTTTACACTTTGATTTGCTAATGATTGAGCCTCTTTTTATGGAAAGGACTCTGAATCATAACCCGCCAAATTAGCCAGTGTGTTGATATGCGTTACCCGCCACAGTGGATTTTCACCCGCATTTGGTGAGTTGGCGAGTGTAATGTCAAACCCTGGTTGCAATACTGGCTTCATTCATTCAACTTTTCCAGAATACAGTTATAACACAATGAATGTGTCACATAGTCTCTGTTCTCACCATTCTGCCACAGCGGTTGTTATGAAGGTTCATGAGTGCTCTTGCATCTTTCACAGTTCGCTCTTTTGCATCTACGAAGGCTTTGGCGAACTTTATCCCATAGTTGATGTTGTCACTGCAGCCACCCCAGTCAAACTCCCCTCGTTCGTCGCTGGCCCGGCCACGCTTGTGAGGGTCACAGTTGCACGACTTTAGCTCCCCCTGACTGCAGGCACGGGTAATGGCGAAAACCACTCCCGCCGAGGAGATCGCATATACGAACGCCGCCTCACGACTGCCTGCGAAAACAAAGATCATGAAGCCACAACAAACACATTCAGGTCCTTAATTAGACACTCAAGACATTTAAACACACCCTCCACTCTCATATAATCCCAAGCAGCACTTCTGATTTGTCCGCCAGAGACCTGCCTAGGGGTGTGACTTGCCCCAGTGTGAGTGTTTGGTTTAAATATTAGTACAGGCCTAATCCCTCCAGGGTGGGCCATTCTCTGCTAGGATAAATTGTTTGAAGGTTAGCAGTCTGATAGTGAACTGCCACAGTTATTTTCTAACCTTAACCTGCTTTTTCTAAGCATCCTGCATGTTTGGAGTCACGCCACTCACACCGATTCCTTTAGCCAGACTGAATGTAAGAAAAATACCAAATGTAAATCATGATGGACAGACTCCAGTTTTGAGAAGAAACCAAAAGTGTGTTCTCTAAAACATGTTTTATAGTTGTTTTAAATATGCATTTTCCATTGAAATTATAAAATTACAATATATATCATATTTGGTATGTTATATTTTATAGTTACATTTGCACCATAGTTCAAAAGTTTGGGGTCAATAAGATGTTTTTTTTAAGACATTTATGACTTTATTAAGCAAGGATGTGTTAAATTGATTAAAACTGATAGTAAAAATATTTATAATGTTACAGAAGAATTTTATTTCAAATAAATGCTTCTTTTGAACTTTTTATTCATACAAAAATCCTGGGAAAAAGTTTTAATAGTTTCCACAAAAAACACAATTTTCAACAGTTAACAGGGTTAAATTACATTTTAATAAACACTCACCTAAAGGATTATTAGGAACACCATACTAATACTGTGTTTGACCCCCTTTCGCCTTCAGAACTGCCTTAATTCTATGTGACACTGATTCAACAAGGTACTAAAAGCATTCTTTAGGGATGTTGGCCCGTATTGATAGGATAGCATCTTGCAGTCGATGGAGAATCGTGGGATGCACATCCAGGGCATGAAGCTCCCGTTCCACCACATCCCAAAGATGCTCTATTGCGTTGAGATCTGGTGAATGTGGGGGCCATTTTAGTGTTCAAAAACCAATTTGAAATGATTCAAGCTTTGTGACATGGTGTATTATCCTGCTGGAAGTAGCCATCAGAGGATGGGTATATGGTGGCCATAAAGGGATGGACATGGTCAGAAACAATGCTCATTTAGGCCATGGTATTTAAACGATGTCCAATTGGCACTAAGGGGCCTAAATGTGCCAAGAAAACATCCCCGACACCATTATACCACCACCACCAGCCTGCACAGTGGTAAAAGGGCATGATGGATCCATGTTCTCATTCTGTTTATGAAAAATTCTGATCTGAAATTCTCAACAGAAATCGAGACTCATCAGACCAGGCAACATTTTTCCAGTCTTCAACTGTCTGATTTTGGTGAGCTCTTGTAAACTGTAGTGTATTTTTCCTATTTGTAGTGGAAATGAGTGGTACCCGGTGGGGTCTTCTACTGGGGATTTTCAACAAGGCATTTTCGCCCACAGAACGGCCGCATACTCGACGTTTTTCCCTTTTCACACCATTCTTTGTAAACCCTAGCAACAACAAACATGCCACGCTCAAAATTGTTTAAATCACATTTCTTTCCCATTCTGACATTCAGTTTGGAGTTCAGGAGACTGTCTTGACCAGGACCACACCCCTAAATGCATTGAAGCAACTGCCATGTGATTGGTTGATTAGATAATTACATTAATGAGAAATTGAACAGGTGTTCCTAATAATCCTTTAGGCGAGTGTATTAATAGTATTAATAATAATTGTGACACATTGGAGGACAAATCAATAGATTTAAGTTAGATTTTTTTAAACCAAATGCTAAATGTGGAGTAGCATTTAAATACCTTGAAGTTATTTATTGCTAGTGATTAATGAATAACTTCCACAGAACTTAAATTTTGTTTTAATAGGGTCTTTTATTGTAGGACCCCCCTGCCCAGATCTCCACGTAAAGTTGTCCTTCTCACGCTGCACTGCAGTCGTTTTCAGTTTCCTGTTGCGGCTAAAATGTGTTTCAATGATCTGTGCTCATGTAGTGCAATGACATCTGGAGGATATCTATGTTTGAATCGCTCCATCATTCATACAGCAAGATATTCTCTAAAGAAAAATATATTTTTTTAATAGTACAGTTGCCGTTTATAGGAGAATCCTCTCTTGGCAACCGCTCCAATTCTAATTCCATTTCATAAACTGAATACAGGCAGTGCTGCGAGAGTCTGTCCGGCTGCCAGAATCATCTCTCCAAACATTTACATCCACTATGCCTGTTTATGTGGTAAAGAGGCATAGAGAATGCTGGAGGGGTGATCTTTTCACACAGGGATCTTTGGAACACTGTATGAAAGCCAAACAGAAAGCACATTTACAGTGCAGATTTCTTGAGTAAACTTCAGGTTCAGACTGAAATAAGTGATCCTGTGGGGTTATGTCTGTTTATCACACCTGGCCTGGGATTTGTGTGAATGTGGCTGCATTTTCTTGTGGGATCCGAGTCGTTTCATTGACATCCCTCAGTGATAAACAGTGATGTACATGTCCAAGAGAGTAACTGTTTAAAATGTCATTACCCTATTCTGATCCATACTGATTTATGTGGTGACAGCGCAGAATGCCGATCTAGGTATTTACCATATGAGATGCACAGAGAGATATTTAAAGAGAGAAATAGTTTGAGAATCAGTTTGTAGGGGCTTTAGCACCGGTACTCACTTAGGTCCAATAACTATTGCCGGAAGTACCCGCTTTTTGGCATGTTTGCACCACAGGAACTGGGTATGATTTTAGTTATAGGAATATATAGTAACTGCACATTGATTAACCAAATGTATGCCGGTAAAAAGCAGTTTAAACACACAGTTTATGTATAATAACTCTACGAACTAACTCCACAAAACAGCGATAGATAGACTGACGCAAAAGTCCAGGCACTTCTTAACCTTTATGTGGTGGAGTTCTTTATGTTGTTGGATGCCGGGTTGAGAGTTCCTATTGGCGGTGTGACCAGCAGAATGGCCCTAGGATAACATTTTAGTTCTTGCTAGTTCCTAATAATTGATTTTCTATAACTACCTGGTGCGAAAGGACCTTATTTCTGTTTCCCAGCAGGTCGTAATGGATGTAAGGTCTTCTTGCATTGTGCAATCCAGCCCCTCAGGATTGTGAGATCACTGACACTAGAGTTAATATAGTTTTGATAGTTTCAATTAAAAAAATACAATAATAATCATCAAATTTACTTGAATTGACTACTAAAATATTATAGTATTGTCATTATTGTTATTGGTTTAATGTCTAATAGTCCATATATGTATATATAAATAACTTTGCATCATGTTAACTAGCAGTCATTAGAGTATTAGTATACAGTCTGCTAACATGGTCCCCCAACAGACCATAAGTAACTTTGCAAGTCCATGTCAACTTGTTCTACTGACCGGTCAACTAATAATTCATCTAAAGTGGACTGTCAAAATAAAGTGTAACCTTGAATAATTATAATAATGAATAATGTCTAAAAAAATTCAAATGTTATGCATTGTATTTCTCTCATGGAGTAATAAATATTCCTTATAAACTAAACATTGCTGTTACATTTAAAATGATAACTTCAGTCATTCTCTTTTAAGATTTAGCGTTTCAATTTTTTTCTTCATCAGCCTTGACTCCTTCTGTCTCCAAAACGCACAGACACATTTCTAGTACTCACTGCGCTGTATGACTCTTCCAAAAACAGTATGGTCTCTGTCCAGGGCGCTGCAGTTCCAGCGGTGATGGCGGAATTGATGCTGGCACTCTCGAATCCACTCTTTAGCCCCGCCACCGATCGACTGCATGATGTCTGGATACTTCTGACACAACTGTCTCTGTTTATTCACCAACCCGGGAATATTGTCACAGATCACACGTGCACCAAGGGCTCCAATATACCTGAAATATACACAGAGAGAGGTTTAAAACCTAAATTACTGAACCAAACAGTCAGTTTTTGTGCTGAATCAGTAAACATTCAGTGATTATGCATTGCCTGATGCCAAAGAGTTTGATCATTCCCAGAATCTTACCACTCATTAGTAGAATTTCATTGGAAAGTTTGGCAAACTGGCATGTGTCATAAACAGACATTCACAAAGCAGCCATTATTTATGATTTATGCCAAGGCACATGCATAATAAGTTCAACATCAACCAATTGGCGATACATTTTTGAGCCTCTATGATAACCTGTATCTATTTTTTAGACTATTGCTGTTTTATATGAAGTATTATGTTTTAGCTCCAATTATCATTTGCTGTGATGTCACACTTGACTCTACTTAGGTAATCAGAACAGAAGAATATTTACTGTAATGAATTATGATGCATTCTGTCTCTCTTTTAATCTCTGTATGGTTTTCACTCCTGATCTGATTTTTTCAATCCATCACTGTTCGATAAACCGTTTGTCTAATGCCAACAGAAACTGGGATAAAATCCCACTCTTTCTCACCCAAACCATATCACATCAAGCGTTCACACTAACACACGCTAAATCATGTCAGACTAAAGGAGGATTTAGTGCTGAATATTTTAGTTTGCAAAAAAAAAAAAGTCTGCATTTTTTATGAGAAAATTAAGTTTTTACCTTTTTAAAAAATATTTGTGAATGTTGATCAACCTTTTTATAACGACTGTGTTCCTCCCACTCCGATGCCTCATTTGACTGTGATTATAGGGCTTTATCGGACCCTGCGCTTTGCGTTCAATAGTTAGAGTTTGGAAACGCTCACCCACACACACCAGGCTTGTCTCACACATTGGTGGTTATTAATTATCCACAGGAGACCACAACCACATGCTGTAAAAACACAGTAAAATCTGCTCTCATTTACGCTGCGTCTCTGTAGTTAGGCTTGACTGGGTAAAGAATGTACAACTAGTAATTTTTTGCTTCTATTACCCAAATAGAGGTAAAAACTATGATATATTAAACGATAGAACTATACAGACAGACAGTTAGACAGTCAGCCAGACAGACATAGATAGATTTTTGTGGACAAGGGTGGAAGACCATGCCGAACCCAGTACAAAAGCTCACAGGTCAAAGATGAAGTTCACTTCAAAGGACACACACACATCTTAATATCTGTGTGGAAGTCCCGGAAAGGCTTACGTTTGGCTTCGTCTCTCTCTCTCTCTCTCTCTCTCTGTGTGTGTGTGTGTGTGTGTGTGTGAAACAAGTTCACTCGTATGGGACACTAACAGGCCGCCCAGTAGCTTAAGAGGATTCCTGCTCTGTCTGTTTAAAGTGATGGATAAGCAGATCACAGAGAGAGAAAGAGGGAGCAAAAGATCCCCTTCTCTCTGGCTCTGGTGAGTGCCTCACATTGGGAATGTCAGCCTGACTTATTATTACACAACGATAGTAACAAAGGCTTGCTTTCCTCTGATTAATTTTTTATTTTCTTAGTTTCCGTGCAAATCAAACCTATTTCTGAGCAGTTAGTAAGGACTGACGAAATTGTTAGAGGTCCAGTATGTAAGATAACATGATCTTCATCAGAGAGCAGCAGAGCGCTGGAATACAGCATGTTTTATAGTTGGGAGGCATATTGAGCAAAAACATTAAATTAACATTTGTCAGGCAACCACATGCATTTATTTTCTAAGTATACATAAAACCCAAACACTCCTTAACTACATTTATATATGTGAGCATGTGGCTGGTTTATTCATGATCGCTCAGACTCACTGCACTGTGTGTGTGTGTGTGTGTGTGTGTGTGTGTGTGTGTGTGTGTGTGTGTGTGTGTGTGTGTGTGTGTGTGTGTGTGTGTGTGCATCTAAGCAGGAGGCCTGACACATATTGCAGTTATTTAATTTATTCTTCTGTTATTGGCTGGCACCACACCTCAAGCACACCATGAAAACCCAACCCATTACTCTGATATAATGATGTACAGGGCCTGTTATAAGCACAAGCTCTGGGGGAAACCCCATCCCTCATGCGCATTTAAAATTATATTTTGAGGGGGCGAAATGCACGATTTGTGTGTTTCTAGAATAATTGCATTTTAAATGCCAATATCTTGGTGGAGAGGGCGGTGCCGGTGGAGCTGCGTTCCTGCACCAACGTGTGTGTTCGTTTTAGTAGCTACTCGAGTTGACTGCCATCTTCCGAGTCCAGACCTCTATCCACCAACAGGGTGCGAATTATGGGGAGTTTGGGGGTTCTGAACCCCATAATTAAAGCTTAAACCACCCCAAAGAAAATAAAAACAAAAGGCTGGGGGTCTCAAGTGTATAGCTACTTTCGAAAATAAGTATAACTTTATATTTCAGCAGCGTTGTCAAACAAAAACGGTGTTTTAGTAACCACAAAGGTTAGACAACAAGTTAGTTATTCAGACCGCGCTAGAGAGACGCTCGCAAACAGAAGTCGCTTTCGCCTGAAGATAACCATAGCAACAGCTGCGCGAGCACTTTCCGTCAGGATACGTAGTTACTACCTCTGTACTGTCTTTGTTTATCACTCCATTATGTTTACATGGATAGGACGCATATAATACAAAGACTTTGCTTGCATATAAGACAAAGAGCTTTGTCTAAAATGTATTTAAGATACTTGGCTAACTGTGCGTGCCAATCAATTCAGCGCGCGAGACGAACCTCACCATATTTCGCCCAATAAACTAACGACAGAAATTGCTTTAAGTCAAACACTCTAAACCTAGCCGGCCCTATACTTTAAATGACCATTAAAACACAGACATAATTAAAAAAAACAATGCCCAAAGGTTTAAAACTCTGTTTTTCATTAAACTAGGCTACAGTTAACACACACACTTATAGCCTACCATTGTTATTCAAAGCCATCACTAAAGAAAACACTAGCTATATCCAACTAACATATCTTTATAAATGTCCAGTCTCCCAAAATGATGGCAGCTCGATCACCAAGAGCAGAAATAACCGCTCGGTTTCTGCGCGCGAGTGTGTGGCAGCGGCGGCGCGCGGGGATGCTGGACGCTACTCACCACCAGGACGAGTCCACGCGCGGCGTGAGGATGAGCAGGAGTAACAGGAACGCGCAGCACAACCTCGAGGACGCACGGGGACCATAGGATGAGCCTGTGCTGTTTCTGATTATGTGTCTTAATCCTGAGCCTCCGGGAGCAGCGGTAGATCTGTTGAGAATCCGGGGCGACCCAATAACTTTACCGCAGCCAAACATAGTTGAGCGTGTCCTCCAGCGGTGATAAGAAAACACGATTCTGTACTGTAGGAAATTGGTGTAAAGAACGTTTAGGTCTGCGAGGACCTGCTGAAGTTTGGATTTCTGATAGCCGGACAGATGTACGGAGTTCCGTGCGGACGATGCGCGGACGGATATCATGTATCTGCCCGGATATTAGCGTGTGCCATATAAAAGTATTCCCCGAGATCTGGCAACCGCAGCAGAAATAATCCAAGCCAGACGGCAGGTTCAGAGAGCGCTTTCTTTTCTTTTTTTCACCTCCTCTTGAGAACAGATGAAGTCTCGGTGAGGTGCAATTTGATCAGCAAGAGTGCCAACTTTTCCACTTTTTCTCCCCACGTTTTGCGTTCAGGCAGGGCTGTGAAACACGCGCCTCTCCGTTTTTCCATTGGAGTCTGCGAGCGCTGATAGCAGACTGCGCGAGATAAACCGGGGCGATGAACTGTGCGAACTGCAGACCGAAGGGGTGGGCGACGGGGGGAGAGAGAGAGGGGCGATAGGAATGTTGACAGCCCGCCGTCTCTCCAATCTTATTGGGTAAAGCTCACAGAGACCGGAGCCCCGGGGAAGCTTGAGCTCGCTCGGGATACGCGCCGTTCCCTGGTCAGTGGAGACACGCGCCACGCTCCTATCACCTGCTGAACAACACGCAGCATCCTTATATACACACTCCGCTGGAGTGCAACCTCACAAACAAACGAGAATAGGGGGGAAATGAGACTACACACTTTAATTTGTACATTTAACTTCAATGTCCGTCACTTGTAACAATACAATCCGTTCACTTAACTCGACTTTCGAATTAAATATATCCCATAAAGCAATAATAATAATACATTGGTCAAAGGTTATAGGCAGTTAAGACGTTTGCCATAAAATTAATGTCTATTTTAATGAGTTAAAAGGTTTTACAGTTTGGGTTTGAGCGATGCTCAAATCAATCAATGTTCATTGTTTACATTATAAAGTCAGATAGCTTTTTATTATTTTAAGCGTGCTTTGCTCGTAGGATAGTGTGCAGTTACAAAACCCTTATTATGATAACTGTAGCCAATCTAATAAATTACAATCAAACACTTGAATCCACTCAAGAACGCAGTATTCGCACTGATGGCAGGCGCAATCGTCTGGAGAGATGCGCGTGTCTGAATACACAAGCTCGTGTTTACAGATAAGACTCTAGAGCTTGCACGAGTGCTGCTGTGTATAAACATCGCGCGGATTCCAGTTTCAAAACATCACATAGTTGCCTGTTGCATGACTCTAGATAAGTAAAACCATTCTCTTTATTAATGCAATGTGTAAGATCCACTCACAATGGTCTGTCTTAACTGTTGTAAACACTGCAGAATCCTATGGCGTCACCACTCTTAATGTAAATTATTTAAACCACACAATATAAAGCATTCAAATACCCAGTTCCAACAGTAGCAGCAACTTCAGCTCCAGATGAGGAATCTGAAACACCAAAGACTGCACTTCTGTAACACTTCACTGAGCACTTGAAAGTGAACTGGCGCAGAAATAGGCCCAAATCCCTATTGGAATTGAAACTATTAGCATTATCTGCACTTTCCACCAGGGATTAAATGAACAATTATGTTTAGCTGTAAATCCTGAATTAGGCTAATCTTCTTGCCTGAAATTTTCATTTGTACTTAAACTTCATTTGTACTTAAACTTTAGCCCCTTAGATGCTTTTGTCCACATAAAGCTGGCACTGCTTATAGTCTGTGTGTGAGATTGAAACAGAGAGGCCTATCCTCTAAACGTGGTGAACATTTGTGCGTGTCAGTTCAGATGGTGATTTTATGGTAAATAAAGAGGAATTATAGAATGACAAAATAATAGTAAATCACATTTTACACTGAAAACAGTGTTTTCACTTTCAATTTGCTAGTCTGACAGTCATTTTTAGAATGAAATGAAACTGAAATGTTATTTGAAGTTAACATTTGAAATTTGAAGATATATACTTTCTTGCTGATGCAGTTTACTCCAGATTATTGGACAGAACAAGGCATTTTGGGAGTTTTCAAATTGAGAAACTATTTAAAGAAAATCAAATATATGTTATATATATATATATATATATATATATATATATATATATATATATATATATATATATATATATATATATATATATATATATATATATATAGATACACTGCCGATTTTGCAGGTTTTCCCACTTAAAAAGCATGTAGAAGTCAGTAATTTTTATCATAGGTACTCTTCAACTGTGAGTGACGGAATCTAAAAGAAAAATCCAGAAAGTCACATGTATTTAGTAACATTAATCACAAAACACTAAACAATTTAGTAACATAATCACATTATTATAGTAATTAATTTGCATTTTATTGCATGACATAAGTATTTGATACTTCTTCAGAGAATCAGACCTTAATATTTGGTACAGAAACCTTTGTTTGCAATTACAGCGATCATACATTTCCAGTAGTACTTGACTAGGTTTGCACAAACTGCAGCAGGGATTTTGGCCCACTCCTCCATACAGGCCTTCTCCAGATCCTTCAGGTTTCGCAAATACTTAAAAATCATACAATGTGATTTTCTGGATTTTTGTTTTAGATTTCGTCACTCACAGTTGAAGAGTACCTACCTATGATGAAAATGACAGACTTCTACATGCTCTGTAAGTGGGAAAACCTTTTTGGAAAACCCAAACCTTGAACGATTTCTCTTGCTTTACTCCTATGATGGCAAAGCTGAATTGAGCAGCCATTACTCCATCAGTGTAAAATGATCCATCAGAAAATATTCTACATGACATTTCGAATGATCAATGTTTAAAATAGTTGTGTCGCCTAACATTTTTTTTGGAAATGTGATACATTTTGTTCAGGATTCTTTAATGAATAGAAAGTTCAAAATAACTGAATTTATTTGAAATCTTTTGTAACACTGTAAATATCATTGTCACTTTTAGTGTGCATGACTTTAAGTATTAAAATCTTTATAAAAGATTTAAATATCGTATATACGTACATACATGCATAAATTAAAGAAATACAAATTAACAAGCACATTACTGTGATTCTGAACATTGAGGTTTGGCTGGATGCAGAATGCCATTACTCCATGAGATCAGCTCTCAGTCATGCTCATGTGTGTCCCTCTCTCTCGACTGCTCTATAATAGACGGAACAGACACTCAAGGTGACCACAGGGTACAGGAACACCTGAGAGAATGAGCTCACAGTTTATTTCTGTACCTGTGTGTGAATCTGAACCTGTGTTTGTGTGACAGGTCTTAACTCTTCATTGTCGTAAGGTTTGGCTCTGTTTCAGGAATGAGGACACTGCGAGTGTCCTCCTGCCTCACTGCTTAGAAGTTCACCGCTGGCTATTTTAGAAAGGGGCTCTGGGAAACTCACACCTGATTATAAAACCTCTCTCAACTGTTCAAGTTCTGTCCAATAAGACATTTAAATTAGTACAGCTCTGTAGGCTACTTTCTGTAAAATGTTGCAGAGTATGTGAATCTTCATCTTAGCTTGTGTGAAGGTTCATGTATGTATATAATGTGTGTTATGAACAACTTGTTCTACCCTTGTTGTACAATTTGGTGTCCCCATTCTTAGAATAGGGAATTTGTTGGGGAGCCTTCCAGACAATGTTACATCAAACAACAATGAAGTTATTTTAACGGCAAATATGTTTTGTTCATATTAAAATAATTTTAAGAAAAAATAGTTTCATTGTTGTGAATAATAGAGATTATTATTGACAACATATAAGAAGTAACAATTTTAACATTTTCTATATAAGGGAAGACAAGTAAATTCAATATTTAGTTTCATCTGCTATTTTTTTTTTTTTTGTCATGAAACCTCTTCAGCATGGTAATGTATATGATGTTATGCATGTTTCTCGTCTTGGCTGAATAGTTCTATGCTACGCTGCTACTGTTGATTTTTACTGCTGCTGCTCATATTGATTATTGGCAATTAATACATTTTAGCTAACTGTGATTTGTATATGTACATTTCTGATTATTTGATTTCCATTACACGAGAGTAGATGTTAAAACTTCATGCTGATTTGTTCTCGGCTTTCGCCAAGAAGATAAGCACAAACTAAGAAGTAGCTTTACTGTAACCTATGCTTCTCCACCCATTTACGCTTATTTCCAAATGGTGATGTGAATCTCCTTCTGTTCGGCAATAATGGCTGCAGTGTACTCGGCACACACAACGGCTGCAACTACAGTGTGGTCTCCCCAGTGGACCAGCAAGATAACCGTTTGGATTGAGCCGAGTAGGGTTTCTACATCTCTAGGGTCTTCAAGGCACCTTGTGTCCTCAGTGTTTCGTCGACTAGCCCACGACACCTCAAGAGGGCTCACACAGGTACAGAAACAGTGACTCTGGCATCCCACAGTCACCCCCCTCCGTCCCCCACACAAACAAGCCCAGGTTACTGACCTTTACATCCCTCCTGCTGCTGAGGTTGCTCCTTCCACGTAGTTCACATGTGACTAACCACAATCTCTCCGCAACCCAAACATACGCGCCAACCCGTTTGACTAAGGCTGTCGAGTCCCACTGTCTTTATTAAAGTAGGTTCAACGGTAAAGTAGGTGGCAACGGTTCCGTATGGCATACTACCTACCGCAAAACGCAATATCTGCCCAAACACCGCCCGTCATTCACGCAATATACACAGGAACGTAATAACTGTAATTAAACTATACAAATAAACCAACAGACTCTTTGAGTTTTTCAATAATTCTACGAAACCGTAGTGTGGCGGTTTAGGGTACCCTTTAACGTCAATTACATGACGATCCTGGGACGTCATACAACTGACGCTTTACCTTTACCGTCAGTTAGGTGACGGGGAAGGTTTAGGTTCGGGGTAGGGTTAGGATCCGATAACGTCATCTAACCGACGTTAAAGGGTACCCTAAAACGGCGGATGTTGACGTATGGTCAAAAGACGTCCCAAAACGTCAGTTATATGACGTCTTGGGATGAGACTGCGCTGCCTGTACACAGCCAGCCAGATTATTTCCGTCTCAACCACAGCCAGTAGCTGCTCCTCTCTGCTGCTTCACATAAGTTCTTTAATGTGTGACGCAACTCTTGGCCACTGAATCCGATGTCTCTGAGGAAGCGGGTTGTAGAGTGTGCCACAAATCCTTGACAACCCACTTCCACTGAATAAACCTGGACTCTCCATCCTCACTGTTCTGCTTCAGTGGCCAGATGAGCATACCTCAGTTTCTTCCTCTCATATGCACCATGGCACTTTTCACTCTATGAATTGAACAATGCGTGCTGATCCAGACCACAAAACGATATCTGGTCGTAGGTTAGTGGTGGCAATCTCAGGTGGAAAAATAAGACGTTGATCAAGATCAGCCAGCATTTTCCAGTCCCTAGCAGCTTCCAGTTGTCCTGGGCGAGAATTGGTGTTAACACCTTTTCTTGGTGGTTGCTCACCTGGGCAGAGGAATATATTGTCTTCTGTGTGTAATGTTTTGCTAGAACAGGCGGCAACTTATTGGTCATGTTAACCTTGCCTTCCAATGCTAAAGCCAAACATCATAGTACTTGG